TGAAATATCGCGATATTTCAGTGTATCGATATTTTCTTACACCCCTAGTTAGGTGTATAACTGTAGATGAAACGACTAAGATGTTGAGAACAATCAATGGTTACGGTTTTTATGAATCGGCTATTAAATTTATGTATAGTTATTTAAATAGGAAACAATGTTTGATGGTTTTTGTTCCAATTTTCTGACATTTCCATGTGGGATTCCACAAGGCAGTTGTCTGGGTCCTTTGTTGTATAGCATTTTTGTGAATGATATGTCGTATGTGTTGAAAGAAGCATCTACCATTGTATATGCAGATAATAATTTCTGTTTCCTCTGAATGTTTTGTTCAGGTAAATGAGACGTTACAGAGGGAACTATTTGTTTGKGAGTGGGTAACAGAGAACAGGTTGAAATTTAATGTATCAAAAACTAAATGGTTCTAAATAAAGGGAAAAAAATACTTATTGACTGTTATATTGGATAACCAACAAGTTGAACAGGTTAAAGAGTTTAAATTATTAGGAGTAATGATTGATCAGTCATTTTCATGGTCTAAACATTTTCAAATGATTCTGTGTAAAATGAGCAGAAATATTGCCATAATTAGGCGTAACGCCTGTTTTATGTCTACAAGAATAAGAAAGTTAGTCACAGTCTTTCTGTTTGTCATCTAAACTGTTGTTCGGCTGTCTGGTCCTGCGGTCTAAAAGGGATCTACAGAGACTGAAAATAATTCAAAATAAAGCTGCTAGATTAACACTCAGTTGTCATTTTTAACCAGTGTGAACATTATGCATAGAGTTGATCAAGGTTAACAGTAGCAGAAAGGTTAAAATACAATCTTATGTTATTTTTCTATGAAATTTGGACCTTACATCTACCTTTCTGTTTATTTCCTCAGTTGTTGCCCACTTCAGACAGACATGGTTTAAGCTACGGCTGTGATGTTTACTTTGAAACTGCCGAAAACTGCCGAAAACTAATCGAGTTGAGGAAACAGTGACGTACAGAGCAGTCGGGCTCTGGGATGTRTTTGCCTTTTGGTTTGAAAGTGTTCGACAGTTGCAGTAAATTTAAGGGTGCTTTAAAGAACGTCACTGAAGAAGAGATCATTTTGAGATTGTATAATTAATTTATTATTGATTTCATTGTGTTTTCTTTGAGTCCTCGATAGGGTTTTGAAGGAGTTTTAAGATAGTAGTTTTTGTTTTCCTCATCTTCATGTGGATGTTTTTTATTTTGTGGTTTTGAACTGGCTCTTTTTGTTTTAATTTGTATTTTATTTTTTATTAGTTGTTTCTCTGAATTGTGTTTWGTTTTAATGTGTTCATAATGTGTTAATGGTCTCTGCTGAGGTAGAGACTAATGGGGACCCTAAATAAAGATAAAGTGTCAGAGATAACCCCCCATACAACAAACGTCTACGAGAAAATACTAAATAAATTTATCTGTAGCTTTTTGTTGGAATGAAAACCCCACAGAGGTCAGTCCTGCACCTGTCCACAGGTGTCCTGGTCCGGTCCTATTAAACAAACTGTTCCAGGTGTCTCAGGTCTGAAGTGTTCCTTCAGTGTGTCAGATTTAGATCGGGCTCAGAGGCTCACTTCAGACCCTGAGCAACACATTTAGCTCCTGACAGACTGGTTCAAGCTGAAAGAACGACAACAGGACCTCCAATAACCACTGGTTACAACCGAGGTCTGCAGAGGGGTTTGGCCTTGATGTTTGCAGTGCACCTGCTTGACTGTGAAGGAAGCTAAGCTAAGAGGCTAACAGGTTCACGCTGTAAACAATCACCCCCTGCTGGGATGAGAGGGGCACCGAGCAGAATGACATGACTAAATGAAGCTGCAGGCTCTGAGAGACTAGTCTTGTCAACRCGGWCTGAAYGGTTGTTGSTGAACTACAGAATAAGACGRCACAGGAAATCAACGTCATCCTTCATAGCTCCTTCTGTTCCCTGAYTGGCCCGGAGCGTCAATGGGAGAAATGGCAGAAGGAGCAGAGAAGAAAGGAGAACTGAGCGGAGCTGTAGGAAGGCAGGTGATAAAAAACTGAAGTTCACGAGGAAACTTACCTCTGCCACAGTTCCTTCAACGCTCACCCAGGTCTTCTCCTCCAAGCTCTGGATCTGTTTGATGGAATAAACTGGACTCTGTTCAGAAACGAGCCTCTGGGCTTCCTGCTCCAGATGCTTGGGAACATCCAACAGGTCACCCTTTGGTATTTTGGATCCTTGAAAAACTTTCATGATGTYGTCATTCTCTAGAAGGCCTAGGACTGGGTCTTTGAATATGTAAGATTTACCCTCCTCAAAATGTTCAAACATCTCTCTTCCATACACCATCACTTTGATGCAGTCCGTCTCATCAGCCAGGCCCAGGTAACAGTAAACCTTTTTCTCTTTCTTTTTGTTTCTATAAATACGCAGACCAGACTTCTTCACAACTGTCCCAGATATGACAGTTCCATTGTGGGTACCAGTGGTCTTCAGGTCTTTGATGGAGCTCCTCTGGACACAGAATGACAGTTTAAACAAAGTCAAGGATTAATAAATCAGAATCACTTTGTTCCCTGAGACAAACGKATGTTGTGACCTGGYGCTATATAAATAAACTGAACTGAACTGAAAACTCCCAGTAACACCACAGACTGGTTTCATCAGCTGAAAACCATCATAAACCAGAGTACGAGGAAACTGAGGTTACAACAAACATCCTCCAGTGGAGGATGGAAACAAACATCTACTCAGAGTCCACGATGAGCGTGAAGTAGAGCTGGAGGAGAGACCGCTGGACGTAGCTACTGACATGAAGACTTTCTAATCCAACAATCACCATTTTAATCATCATTAACTAAATGACTTAAATAATCACCATGAAGGTCCTGGAGTAGTCTACACCAGTGGTTCCCAAACTTTTTATCTTCTGACCCACAAAATATTCACGGCAAAAACTTGTGACCCCAAATA